ACAGGAAATTCCCTAACATTTTTAGTATACATTTATATTTCTAAAGTCTGCCCTAGCTTTATTTAGATTGCTTTCCCAAGCATACTCAGACAAATCATTATTTGTCTCCATATTTTGGTGAACTATTTAAAGTATTTAAGCCGCATCATCCCTGTCCCTTATTTTTGTGTGGAATTTATCAATTAGAGCAGCAGCCACTGTTAAAGTAATTTTAGCGAAATATTTTAAATTAAGTTTTAAAAATGCCATTCACCGCCTTCACTACCCATATCGACACATAGTCACGGCTCTGGACTTATCAGCATATCTTGTCATTAACTGAGATTCACCATCTGCTGGAGACAACAGTACCCGACCAACTCCATTTGGAATGAGAAGATTTCTTACAGCTATTTCTGCTTGGGATATATGATTTGTACATACATACATACATTCATAGAAACAAAATCCTGATTTAATATTACACAGGCCATATTCATGAGCAGCTCTAATGTACTTCTTGGAATTTGCTTGATCGTCACTATCTATTATATTTACTTGACAGTCTCGGAACTTCAGACAGAATTTGTAGCCAGATAATAATGTATACATCTTTTTCACTTATACTCTGTTTGTTAATATTATTATTATAGGGTATTCATAAAGTATTCTCATCTCTCATTATTGTTTATTGTTACCAATTTAATATTTCTTTGTGGATAACGGTGCTGGTTACATAACGACTAAGACTAATGTTATTTATAAATTGTTATTTGGTTTAAGCATTATTATGTAATTGTTTGTTGTCCTGAATAAAAAAAGTATAGTATGCTCAGGCATACTCTGAATATTTTCAGTCTATCTTTCTATAATGTAGCAAAATCTTCAATTTGTGCTGCACTAAATGTTTTAATAGGATTACTTTGTTGATTCTAAAAGTACATTGCAAGAGTTACCATTTAAATGGTAATTACATATTCTATATTCTAGAGGTAAGTACATTGTTTTTTTATAGGATAGGGCGACAAACGAGCACACAGTCCACCTGATGGTAAGTGGTTGCTGTGTGGAATCTACATCTATCCTCGATTACAAATCAAAATGCAGACGCGTTGTCACCCGTGAGGAATAAGATGGAATGCCTCATTTCCAGTAAAAAGTCTCTGGTTCTATACACTCACCATACGAAACACAGCAGCATTAAGCTCCTATTTCATGCTGATATTCTGTGAGAGCGTGGTCCTTCCCTGGTCGAGCCGACCCATTTGTGCTACAACTATACTACTAATATAACTGCAGCATTGCTCTACCACGTATAACATACATACATACATAGTAATTGTAATCGCAAAAGAGACGTACCCGCAATGCTGATGGAACAGTGAGTCGATTGGAATTATTACAACCAGGTAAAAAACATTGATTTGGTGTTAGTAGTGCTTTTACAATATTAGTTAGCAGTATACTGTGTGATGATCTGATGATCTAAGCTTTGTTGTTCTCAGTGCAATACATTACTCACTTCAGATTGCTATGAGGATGAACTAGATGATTCAGATGGTTCCCATTCTGCAATTGAATGTGATGCTGTTCTATCAGTCCTTTGCCAGCAATTATGATAAACACAAGATGAAGATGACAACTGAAATAATGTTAAATACAAAAAATTAAGTCAAAGTGAAAAAAAAAGAGATTTGTTTGATTTTAAACTCAAATATAAATAAATTATTTTTCTAGTTAAATGTTACTGCACAAAGACAGACTTAATGCTTTATATTATTTAATAATTAAGGCCTGACAGACTACCAGCAGTCCAAAACAATGATAAATCAACAGTCTCATTTCTTGGTAGTTAATAAAAATGGTCAATCTCGTAAATAAGCTAGTATGTTTGTCAGATATAGCTTATGCGGATGTGAAAAAATAAAACAAGTTCTTAAGTTGACATGCAATCAGTTTAAAAACATGTTTAACTATCAGATATGAGTACCACACTTAATAAATAGAAAAATGTTAAACACCCTCACGTGATGCAATTTGATTGGCCTCAACCTCATTTTTTATGAGTTCCTCACGTGGAGAATCGAACCCAAACAATGTGTGTGATCTTATTCTCTAAGTGTCCACAGCTGATGCATACATGTTCATGACAAACTATTGGTGCATTTTTCGAGTGGCACACTATACGTACACTGTCAATCGAAACTTGTACCTAATAAAGAAGCTATAATTATTATATTGATATTATTTAAGTAAACTTAGTTAAAAAGCATTTCTCAGAGGAAGACTTGACACTTCGTGACATGTACCAACTATTTACCTGCTGTGTTCGAACCAATTGTTGAGAGATTAACAATTCGTAAACGAATTCGTATTGTGACTTGACAGGGGCCTAGCTGTCAGATTCGATGTTGCCACTTAACTGTCATAAAATCTATGAAACGAAATCGATTTTTATTTGATTAATAATAACATAAAAAAGAATAGTCTTTGACGCGCTTTGAGTTCTGTACGCTTTTTAAAATATATTTTCCTTTATTTATTGAAATTCTATTTCAAATGTATTTTAAGAACAGTTAACTTGTGCAGTATTGTTTTGTTATGCTCTAGAGAATTCATGGTATATCAGCTAGAAATTAACTTCTTTAATTATCATAACACGATTCCATTTTAAATGTAATGTTAAGAACAGATAAGAATAACAGTTAAATTGTGCAGTAGTGTTTTGTTATACTCTAAAGAATTCATGGTAAATTAGTTAATTATTCGCTTGTTTAATTATCATAACTATAGATGTGAACTTTGTCAACGATTTCAACCGAGCCGATAACAACGGTTGTTTTAGTTTTCAACGGTCGACAACCGCTTTTGATGGCTTGAAATGAATACAAACAATAAGTTGTATGTGCAATAAGTTTTTTCTCTTTGGTAATGAACAAACCACAGAAACCTCTATAATGTATAATAGTTCTTTTTTTTTAAGATACAAGTAGCACATTTTCAAGAACCACAAATACAACCTTGTCATTTATCCCACAAACACTGAAACACAAAATTATTTGTAGCTAGCGATAATGATAGTGATATTTTGACTCGATGTAAAATATATGCTTGTTACTACAGAAATCTTCATGGCCCCGCGAGTCCGACTCGCACTGAGCCACTTTTTTTTCAACTTTTTGTTTTTATTTTAATAAATAGTTTTTTCGTTAAAGCGGAGCTTTTTTGCTTTAGATTCATTACTTATATCTATAACAATCAATCTGAGTAGGTAAAGTGTGTAAGTACGATTCTTAAATTGTAAAAATAATAATTGGAGTTATTGGAGGTAGGTATTTAGTTTTATTTATTTAGAAAATATTAATCTCACAATTAATCATTATAATTATATAATTTTATAACACAACTAACTCCCTCATTAGCAATGTAATGGTATAATAATAATTTTCAAAATCGGTCTAGTAATTTTCGAGATTAGCCAAAAACATATACATTGAAAGTAGCGCCCTCTATAATAAAATGCATCCTATATTAGACATCTATAATTATACATAACAATCTAGTGGTGAAAGAATTTTCAAAATCGGTCGAGTACTTTACTAGTTTAGCGAAAAAAACATTTTCGTTGATAGTAGCGCCCTCTATAATAAAATGCATCCTACGTTTTTAAGCACCATAGCAAAAACGATTTAACTTAGCCACCCGAACACACAATAAAAACATAACCATCCTTTTTTCGTCTGTAGTCGGATAAACAAGTGGTTGAAAACGGTTGCGTATTGGCTGCATTGGATAAATATCCATTTCAAACGGTTGCTTTACACCTATATCATAACATAATAATAATTATTGAAAAAATATATTAGTATTTTAATAATGATACCGTAAGTAATCGATCGGAAAAGGGAAATCGATTTTTTTAATGATTTTTGTGATTAGCAACATTTTTTATTTTATTCAGAAACTAATGAATTACGTATTTACCTAATTTTATTTTTATCTTTTCGGTACTTTTAATTTGTCCAAAAATATTCCCATCTTTTTAGGATAAATGAATACCGCGATTAATAGCCATAAATAAAGATATATTTTTTTTAACAAACGCACATTGTTGGGCGTTCTATGGCCGAAAATGGGCATCTCCCTTTACGGGTTTTATCGCGTTTTTTAACTTTTTAATTACCAACATTTTGGGTGCTTTACACCACTCAGAGTTACAGGGGGACTAAGGTTTTTGACATCCCGATGTCATAGTTAGCCCACCTACCGTCAGCTTTGAATATTAACCCATTCGCTGTTCCACGTACTACATATAATTCATTGCTATTGTCTTATTTTTTTATAGGAGAGGGGCAAACTAGCATACGGCTCACCTGATGGTAAGTTTACCGCCGCCCATGAACAGCTGCAACACCAGGGGAGTAGCAGATGCGTTGCCGGCCTTTTTAAAAAGGAGTAGGCTCTTTTTTTGAAGGTCCCTAAGTCGTATCTGTCCGGTAAAATCTCTGGTGGTAGTTGATTTCACAGAGAAGTTGTACGAGGAAGAAAACTCCTAGTAAAACGCACAGTAGTGAACCGATGTGCGTTCGTGAAATTTGGCGGCTAGAACTAATCCGAACAATTCCTCAGAACACTCCCCATGGTAGATACGATAGAAAACGCAAAGGGATGCAACATCCCTACGCAGCGCCAGTGAATCGAGCTGACAAGGGAAAAATGACATGTGCTTAGTGCGCATTTTATTCCCACTTATCACTTGTCACTGTTCACATGCACTAAGCACTTGTAATTTGTCAGTTGCACTTGCCACTCGCACTTGTCATTTCTCAAAATGTAAACGGGGCCTTAGTATAGTGTCTGAAAATCGGACAGTGAAAGTGTTAAAAAGTTTATTAAATTTGAACAAATTATATATCTTTATTGTTTTTAATTAATTATAAATTCTACTATCAACTATGATGTTTCTCATCTGTCGGGCGTCCTGTGACGGCAGATTTTTTTAATTAGTTTGCTGGTCACAGGTTGCACCAGAAGCACCCAGCCTTTGGGCCAGCCGTGTGCTTACTGAAACGATGGATATGTGGTCACTTGATGTCAGCACCACATTTTCCACATGTCTTGCCTGAACTGCTGGTGACAACTGTCTTCGTGAAGCCAAGTCCCTTCGAGCCGCCGGCACAACCGCGAACAGCCTTCCTCAGGACTTTACGTCTGATCGCCGAGACCGATTGGTCCACAGAGATGATCGTTCTGGACTTCAATGACGATGTGTCGCGTGAGTTCTGCTTTTGTATTTTTAGCTTTATTGTGTAAGGTCGTCGTATCAAAATCCACCGCTGAACATGGCATTAGTTGCTTCGCTTGGCAGATGGATTGGCAACCGTAGTTTTTTATTTTCTTGTCATTTGGATTACCCATCTCCAGGCTAGTTTATCTCTGAATAAGGGGACAAACGAGCACACGGTCCACCTAAGTGGTAAGTGGATGCTGTGCCTCATAGACATCTACGTTTATTCTCGATTAAGAATCAAAACGCATATGCATTGTCACTAGAGATGTAACGGATAGATGTTTGGCCGGATACCGGATACCGGATATTCGGCCAGTCTTATCGCCGGACAGCCGGATATCCGGCCGCCGGATATTCTGCAGAACATTGCAGTTTTGTGCATCGCAAGAAGCGAAAAGTAAAGTCGGTGCAAACTGTTCGGGATCGTGACCCTTATATTTGGTGGGCAGGTACACAATACCCAAATTTATCAAAATTTGCCAAAATCTTTCAGCACCCTACAGCAGTGTATACGGTGAAAGACTTTTTCTGAAGTTGGCCTTTTTTATGAAGACAGGCGAAACCGTTTGTTACCTTACAATGCAGAGAAATTAATATTTATTCACCATAATTTACCCTTAGCTACGTAGTAAGTACTATTATTTATTCTGTGCCTTATTGCAGTACGAGTGCTAATTTGGAAAGTTTTAAAATGAAAATGTTGTGATTACTGGTTATATTTGTTAAGTGACGAAAATGAAGTACTTCTAAATTTGATATTGTGTTTTTTTTTAATTCGGTATCCGGCCGGATAGCTGTTTGTTATCCGGTATCCGGCCGGATAGTAATTTCAGGATAGTTACCGGATATCCGTTTCAACTCTAATTGTCACCTCTGAGAACTAAGATGGAATACCTCGTTTCCAGTAAAGAGGGTATCCGAATCACTACACTCACTATACGAAACAAAGCAACATCAAACGGCTATTTTACGCTGGTATTCTGTGAGAGCGTGGTCCCTCCCCGGTCGAGCCGACCCATTCGTGCTACAACCATAATATAGCTGCAGCGTGGCTCTACCACATATGAAATTTATTATGTGTATGTAATTTATGTATTATGATAATTATTTATATGGTCGGACGAGGGTATTAGGGTCTGCTTGAGACTGCTTGGTATAGGGGACTTAGGGTCTGTAGAGTCTAATACTCCTTGCTACCATATTTATATGCAGCCAGGTAGTTGAGCTTTTAAAGGGAAATTGGGACAATATTTAAATATATAACTACCTGACTGTACACGATTATTAAAAGGACTTCATACAGTATTATTGAAGACAATTTCTTATCAGATGAAGAGATAGCAGAGCTGGAGCGTAAATTCAACGAGCGCGACCAACAGAGCCCAGCTATGTATATAGTGACTGCTTACGACGGCGATTTGCCGTCGGTGTGGAGCTGGGTGTCACCCAGTAGAGAGGTGCTGGTTCGAATCCGGGCCATCGCACGTGCTACACTAACGTACTTCGAGACTGCATTACTACAGGACTTCAAGGACAACGTGTTGGTGAGTGAAAATATTCAAAATATTAATGGTGGTTATTAATAAAACGTATCATCATCATCTGCTGTAATGATGATGATGATGATATGAATGAAGCGTATAATATTATACGCTTTATTCATCATCATCCATATTATAGATAGAGAGATCTCTCCATAGCGCAAAGCGCGTGCTATGTAAGTAGCCGCCATAGCGCTATGGCGCTATGGCGCTATTAATATTTAGCGGCAACTATTTATAGCATGTATGATGCAAATTTGATCTAGCAGCATGCTATTCATCGCGCTCTACCTACATAATTTATCTTTTTTATATATTTACCTATTATCAGACACCAAAACGTAGGAGTACCAAAATTTGCAATATACCACAAAATAAAACAATATTATAATATTATATTCCAATCTATATCTATTTACAACAAATTCAACAGCAGATTGCAGCATTATTTACCCTTTGATGTAGACTAAAGTTAAACGTGTAGTGACAGGAAACTGAACAATTTGTTACGTAACTTTTATACTTCGAACAGCCACACCAGTTGTTAAAGAACTACTCACACAACCACAAAACACACACACACACACACACACACACACACACCCCCCCACAAACGCGTGCAATCATGTAATTATTATTATATACCAAATTTCATTTACTCCCTAATGCTAGATCTTACCTTGCCTTTTGTTATTTATTGATTAACTTTGTATTGTCTTGGTGGATGAGCGGGATACCCAGTAATACAGGTTCCCACCCTAGTACAAGGGCCCTTGCTACTGGTTTAAAATGTATCATTGTAAATCAATAAATCATTTTTAATTTTTTTTAAATATCTATCTCAGCAACTATTTATAACAGCAGCGCTGCACGTATGATGCAAATTTGATCTAGCAGTATGCTATTCATCGCGCTCTACATACATAATTTAGTGTTAGACGTTGTTTAGTTAGTGTATACTGTATATTATATAAGTGTTCGAAGGACACGGTTGTCTGCTACTAAAGTACCCTTAACTTATATTTTTAAATGTAAATAAAATATAGATACAAGTGTATATAATAGTGTATGTAAATAGCTGAATTTTGTATATATAATCAATAAACTTTTAAATACGCCTTTAATTGATTTATAATTTACATTTAGGTTAAAATAACGTTTATAATTATAGACAGTCATAACCCTGAAAAGTATGACAGTGTTCATTCGTTTTTCTTTACTGCTTTATTTAATTACGGTCTAAAAGCGACTTATTACGAAATAATGTTCTTTTATAGCACGCGGTCTAGCAACGAACGACATGTAATGTAACGTGCTACGAGATAAAGCGTGCTGCAAAACTACGCGCTTGGTGGACCCCTACACGCTTTCTCATTAATAGCGCGCTATAACATAGCGTATTTAATAGTGTGCATTTTATAGCGCGCTAGAAATTTATAGTTTATAGTCTGTAGCGTGCTATTAGTTTATAGCAGTTATGAACAACCTTATAAAGTATACTGGGTGATTTATGTAGCGTCTGGGAAAAATAGGGTGTAACCGGTGTAACGGAATAAAAGCCTACGGCACTGATATTATACAATGTTTTTTTTTTTTTTTACATAAAAATATGTAATTGATCATCACTAAATACTACTAGTTTGGTGCGTATTACTTAAATTTCGATAGTTTTTAATACATTTATTAAGTTCAAAATTTTTGTTTTTATTTTTTCCTACCGAAAGTTTATTTCAAATTAGTCGTATTTATTGATAGTTCAATTTCATAATATGTTAATGTAAAGGCAAAAATATTGTAAAATATCAGTGCCACAGGCTTCACTCCGTTTACATGTTACACCCTATTTTTTTAGACGGTAAAAAAGGTCATCCAATATAATGAATATCTTAGTATTAACTTGCCTTAAGAACGATTTTGTCACTTTGTCCTTAATGTTGTTGTAAAATGGTATTAAAATAAAAACGTGGTAGAGCCATGCTACAGATATATTATATTGTGAGTGTAGAGAACAGGAGACCATTTTTCCTGGAAATGAGGCATTCTATCTTAGACTTCAAGGGTGACAACGCGTCTGCATTTTGATTCTTAATTAAGGATAGATCTAGATGCCAATGGATCACAGCATCCGCTTACCATCAAGTGGACTGTGTGCTCGTTTGTGCATGCATTATACAATTTGAATTTGAACTTTCAGGGTGCCTTCGTACCTTCACTTTCCGGATATGACGCTCTGATTCACTTGTTGTCGCACGTGGTCCCACTCGCCGCAGAACGGATCGACCGGATGCTGGATAGCACTGGCAACCGGAAGCCGAATGACGCCAGCAAATCCGATGATGGTCTGAACGAAGTGCTTCCAGTCGTGGAGTTCAACCCGGTCACTAGATATTTGGACGAGTTAAGGGTAAGTTAGGTTAATGCCGGTTGGGTTTTATCGCCGAGAGGACGTCGGTTAGAATAACATCTTTTTCTAACTATAAAATAATAAGTAAGTCAAATGAATGTGTGTGACGTTTCACAAATTATCAAATTCAAAAAGTGCACATGACGGTACTATAGTGCCCAAGTGTATGAAAAACTCAATAACTGATTTTTTTTGAATCCGTTACCATCAGTCCGTCCGTGATCAGCAGTCACGATTAGGAACAGTCTCTGTTGAGACTGGTCACCGTGATTAAAATCGGTCTAGAGGACATTATTATACGAAGGGGTCCCGGGATCTCCGTTCAGAAATGTGCAGGGGACAGCATTTACTGCCCACCACACCCTCGCAGTGCTATCACTCGAGACCTCTTGAAGAGTCACCTTCCTCACCTTAATCCCACTCCCATTTGTCACCTTATAGGTGACAATGCTGTGAACTTATTACTTTTAAGTTGGTTACAGATGTTTATGGTGTGGAGTATACATCAGGTTGCTATAAAAATTATAAAATAGCTTTAAAAAACTAGACTTGCTACGAATATTTGACTACTGTTCGGTATTTGGACTATTCAGCTACTTTTATCCTATTCGGGCGAATACCGAATACCTAGGTACTATTTGGCCGAATACCCAAAACCTAAGTACTTATAATGCATTGTTGTAGTCGGGTTATTGGTAAAATGAAAATATTGATTTGTTTCTTATTTATATATTTTAAAGTACACGATCAACTTAATTAATAATGATAAATTAAAATAAAGACGGCTACGTTACAGTAAAGACGGTGCAGTAGCTTAGCAATGAGTTATAGCGCGAAAGGCCGCGGATTCGAATCCCGCACGGAAGAAGTATTTGTATGTACTACAAATAGTTGTTCTGGTTCTGGATGTGTTTTTTTGTGAAATCTATGTAAGTAAACCGCCTCCACGATACAGGAGAAAATTCTAGTGTGTGTGTGTGGGAGGGGGGGGGTAACGTTTTAAAAAAAAAACTGAAAAAACTTGCGTATTATGAAAATTAACAAGAGAACTATCAAATAAATGTGTATGCATTTAAATTATCGTAATTAAAATTTAGAAGTGGAAGATTATGGTGCAGAAAGATTTATATTTTACCATTTTCAGCCAGTAGTTTAATCCTTTTTTTCTTGTAGACAATCCCAGTTTCATAGAGAAGACGCTCTGAACAAACACTACTTCCTTCTTGACCGAATACTTCAGCCTAATAATGACATTTGAAATATTTGCAGAGTGCGTACAGCGAGTTTGCGTTGTTCTTCCACGACTACTATGGCGGTGACGTCATCGCCGTGCTGTGGAGGCCAGACATCGACAACATCAGAGATTTGCAGGTGTTTTTTTATTTTTATGTTTGTGACAAACGAGCATACAGCCTACCTGATGGAGTAAGTGGATGTTGTGGCCCATGGACATTTATATCTATCTTCAATTAAAGTCATAATGGAGATGCGTTGTTACTCCCGAATGAATGAAAATGACATGGAATGCATGCATGCAATGCATCGTTTTCAGATAAAAGGGTCTCCGGATCTCTACAATCACCAAACGAAACACAGCAGTATTAAACTGCTATTTTACGTTGGTATATTCTGTGAGAGCGTTCTCCTTCCCCGGCTGATCCATTCTTATACAACTATAATATACCTGCAGTATGGGACCATGTTGAAAATTTTATAGCCAAGTTTGGTAACTATAGCAAAAATGCAGTGGATTTTGAGAGACTGTAATGAATCAGTGATTGAACAAATACTTCTTTTCAGTCTCCAGTTCTTTCAATTGCAGCTTTAATCAACCTTATACGTGGTAGAGCCATGCTGCAGCTATATAGTTGCTTCGAATGGGTCATCTCGATCGGGGAAGGACCACACTCTCATAGAATATCTACGTGAAATAGCAGCTTAACACTTCTGTATTTCTGTATAGTGAGTCTAGAGAACCTTTTTTACTGGAATCGAGGCATTCCATCTTAGTTCTCAGGTGTGACAACGCATCTGCATATTTATTCTTAATCGGGAATAGATATCTATAGGTCACAGCATCCACTTACCATCAGGTGGACTGCGCTCGTTTGTCATCATTATTTTATTTAAAAAAAAAACTGAAACTGTCTACGGCTAGGCTGTCTTTATTTCCTGTAATCGTCACCCTAAATAGGCAGACAACAAGGTGAACTCTACCCTGCCCCTGAGCTCCAGAAACTTGTGACTCAATTTTGGTACTTATGCTTCTGTTGGTTACTTTTGATGTTTTATTAAAATATGAAGCTCATAATTACATAATTGGCCTTAAGTTATATATAGCAAAATCCTTCTTATGAAGAAATCTATATGTTAAGCAATGAACTTTACATAGGTTGTAATCAATAAATCAACGAAAAGCCATATATTTATTCTTTTACCGTATAAAGTCCACTCGTTTAGTATTTCATCATCATTACAGCCCTTCACAAGTCCACTGCTGAACATTGGCCTGCCCCTAGGAAAGCCAAAAAGCAAAGTCATGAGTCACCTGCATCCATTGACTTTCTGCATGTCTTACCAAGTCGTCACTCCATCTAGTGAGGGCCTCGAAAATGGACTAATGCAATTTTATATTTTTAGATCACAAACGCCAACGCCTTGAAACCAGTAGACGTGGACGGTGAAACCAAATATAGAGTGAACAAGGAAGCGCTGCTCGAAGACTTCCGGATATTGGGACGTGGAATTGTAAAAGATATCACTGTGTCATAACGATCTAATAAATATTTACAACAATATTTGCTTTTATTTTATATTATAATAGCCACCCGCCCCACCTTCACCTGGGTTCTATTAAAAACAGTAATCACCCATGCAATTGATGCATCTTTGCCAACCTACCAAGTTTATTGATATGCCCTTAAAGAAATCAGCTAGACGGGAGGCAACGAATTCTTCAAAGGCATTTTATACTGTATCTCGGGCATTGAATTTTTATCCCGCCAAAAAGTTATTCAAATTCTGGAAAAAGTAAAGCCTATAAGGTGATAAGTACGGCGGATGACGAAGAGCTTTCAACTCCTGCTCTTGTAACTTGGAAACCATCTCTTGTGCAGTATATGGTCGTGTGTTACCGTGCATGAGCAACGGAGACGAGATAAGGTGAAGGTGACTTCAACGAATCAAAATGAATAAAATAGTTACCATAGTACTTTTTGGAGTCGGGGCCAAAGAGTATATAATCACTACATTTGGGGCCCTTAATTCTTCTTTTTTGGGTATCGCAACTGACACTGAAATCAAATTTGTTTTGCAAAAGAGGACCATACGGGCAATTTACATTGTAAAATGTAACTTAAATTGTAAAAAGGTCCCTCAGAGAATATAGTTTAAAGAAATAAATATATAGCTTTAACATCGCATTTATGTAAATATAATGTATATACATAAAAACATGGATAGCCTTGATAAGAGCAAAGATGTTCATACTTTAAATACAGAATGAGTGATTCATTTATGGGGCAATGCAGTGTTGGGGCCTATGATAAATAAAAATTTAATAAAATAATAATGTCTGTGGAATTACTTTGTGAACGTGTGAAAATTGATGCATTCGCTTTCTGGGTTTACTTATGATTCGGTCTATCACTTTCATGGGGTTTCCACAGGCATTATATAAAAATTATATTATAATTACCACAATTTGTTATCCCGCATATATCAAATAAGTTGCAGTCCATTTACAACCAAATATTTTTCACTTCTCACTGCATTCACCACCTAGGCCTTTGTACCGTGAAGTAGGGGTGTAAGTATATCCACTACGCCATATCGTCCCAAGGCTATCATAAGAGGCGACAGAAGGAAGTTCAAACACGTGATGCGTAGCAGCATCTTCCCGATAACAGCTCAAAATAACAAATAGCTGCAGTTGTCAACCTCCCTGCCAAGCGTGGCAACTGTGGCAATATTACTCCAATGAGGCAGTCTATGGGAGCAGTATGTTCAGCAGTGGATAATGAATGGCATACGCCTTTACAACAAAATCCCAAAAAATGTTTAGTGTGTCAATCAAGTTTCATTATTTTATTCAACAAAAATTGTACGAAAAAAGTTATTATAATTAATTTTTACTTTCTTGTGTCTTACTGTTGGGGGGACTGGGGACGTATGGGTGTTTTTTGTGGGTTTTTATTATATGGTTGATATGGGAATGCATTAATGGAAGTGACTCTGGGGACTGTGATTGCTAGCATGCTGGTTCCAACATAATTCACATGAAAAATTTAAAAAAATATTGTAAAATCATATATGTCTAAAAAAATAATCCCGCTGGGTTTGACATATGACATTTGCTGCTGCTGTCATTGTCACTTTTTTCATTGGTTGTTTTAACCGCCTTGCTTGGTCGACACTACGCCGACCTTCCCGCGCCCAAGAATACACACTCCCACCTTACTTCAGTGACGGTCCGCCACTTCTTTCTGTGCTTGATTCAAAAACTCCGGAAGGCGCAGTGATTGACTCTTCTTAAATATCCGGCTCGAAGGACCTTACTGTTCGGTTACTCTCAGCACGGACGTATTTTCCGAATCAGTGGTAAATAAACAAATTGATTTATTTATTTTATTAATATTATGCAATAATCTATATTGAATAAAAAAACTTATTCCATTTTATTCGACTGCCTCGTTAGTTAGGTGTTAGTAAATGCGACTGATGAAAAAGCAGTTGTTAGTTTTTTCTGACAAGAAATTCTCAGTAACAGTCCGTAGTCAAGAAATTGGCGTGTTTCACCCCCGTGCCTCGGAAAGCATGTAAAGCTGTTGGTTCCGCGCCTGATCTTTCTCTGGTAGTGTCGGAATACCGTTCCATGCGGCCCATGAGAGTGCACCTGTGGTTGCTCGCACACACGTCGACTCGTGTATTATTATGATGCTCCTCTTTGGATGGCTAGTCTCCGTTGAGGTTGGCTGTCGTGACCGAAATTCGGTCTGGAGGACCTTAGTCTTGTGTACACTTTATACTACATCTTAGTGCTGATGCAGTGTGCAATATTGTATTCATATAATATTTAATTTAATTTTATTAGAATCTAATCCACTACAGTCCTTTTATTAAAAAAAAAACTGCGTAATACCCGCTCGCTTCGCTGAGCACACGATAATAGACGATAACGTAGATATTAAATATCAGGAATTTTTTTCTGGGACTATCGTAAAATCTGTTCTTATTGAGCGTCTACATTGCGTAATGAGTAGCTATATTAAATTTCATGTGATTCAGGTGTATAGTTTTAGAGATATCGTGACGAGTCAGTCAGTTAGTAGTATTTCGCTTAAATATATGGTACGTGAGGGTATATAGGGTCACCCGGTTAATATGCTCACTTTCTTATAACTAAAAAACTATAGCTTTGTTTTCATAGGTGGCTTTCTGATACGATAGCTCTTCATCGGTCAATCAAATAATAAAGGGTCAAAAGGGCGCTTTTTTCGACTTCATTTTGACAGTTGAAAGTATAGTAAAAGAAAAGATTATATATATATATATATATATATATATATATATATATATATATATATATATATATATATATATATATATATACTTTCTTTTACTATACTTTCAACTGTCAAAATGAAGTCGAAAAAAGCGCCCTTTTGACCCTTTATTATTTTATTTATTAGAATTGAAAGAAATAAATCAAAGAAAGAAATATTCAAGTCAAAAAGTTTTCAATTGGTTTGAAGTATTTTTTTCTTAAAAATCTTAATGAAACGAACATCTGATGGTAAGTGGTTACTGTAGTCCATGGAGACCTGCAGCCAGCTTCAAAATAATGAAGCTGCAGGTACATTCTTACTTCCGAAGGGTAAGCTGGAATGCTTCGCACTCCGTAATTGTAATGGCTACGCTACAAAAAAAGAATATGGGTACGTACTTTGACAGACATTAAGATCGCAATGGAGTCCTAACTCTCGCAGAATACCACTGTGAAATAACACCTTAATGCTGCTGTGTTTCGTGCTTAATCGAGGATAGATGTAGATGTTAATGGAGCAGAGCATCCACTTACCATGTGAACCAGACAGTAGACTGTGTGCTGTTTATCACAATTATATTATATAAAAACCTCTTATAATAGATATTCTTTTAAAATGTTAGAATAGGATGCTGTAACTAAAAATGGGAAGTTAATGAAAACCATTACACCGTTATTATAATACATTTAATATTTAATCACTTTATTTCATAATTATGTATTAGCCACTCACTCACTCATTGAGTGGTAACACTCAAAACTAAATTTACAGACCAAAAATAAAATTGGCTGTAACACCTAAAACTACCAGGAGACTAGCAACACAAGGAGCTACCGCTATATCAGGTACATTTTCTTTCGCGCGTACAAAATATGGCAACACGTCCAAAGGCGCCGGGTAGTCTTTGATCCAGGTGGGTCCCATGTGAACCCTCTCCGAGTCCCCTTCTTCCCACCATTCGCCAGTGGGAAGATATATATCACGGGTAGTCGCACCTTGCTCTATAACCGGAGCAACTAAAATGTCCTCACCCAGAAGATATTCTGTAATGTCATAAAAGGAAACCTAAGTTAATACGTAGTTTTCTAAAATTATTATGAGGAAATTGTGTCTATTTTCATATTATACAAATAGTTATCTATACTTATAAATAAAATTAAAGTGTATGTTTGTAATATCTAATAATTATTTGTATGCTATTTCTAGTCATAAACCGCCATTTTTTAAATTTTTGTTTGTATGTCTATTCTTTACCACTTGCTCGGCAGTGAAGGAATACATCGTGAGGAAACCTGCATATCTGGAAAATAAGAAAAAAAAAAATGTTTCGAAGACATGTGAAGTTCGCCAACATGCAATGGGGCAGCGCGGCGGATAATTCCTTGCCCTAAATCCTTCTCAGAAATAAGCGAAGGCCTGTGCCCAGGAGTGGGACGAATATAGGCTGTGTACGGGCTGCAGCACGTACATTTTTGTGGCGTCGGCAGTTTACGCTATTGCGCTACAATAATGCATTTTGAGTCAGTGCGCTCATTGAGGCCAGCAATACCGGTCACGCGTGCTCGCAGTGTCATTTCCCATCTATCCTTAAATTAGATTTAGTTGGTTCTATCAATAAACTATCAATTATCAACTTCCCAGTATTGACTATCATTTACTATCAACAACTGTCTACCGACCACGTGGGGGTCCCGCCGCAGCCCTTACAGGCTGTATCATTAAATTTTAACTTCTATGTCTGTTCTGGATAATTTTTAACTTTACGAATAGATAGAGAGCAATGATTCCATTAATTAGTTCATAAAAAGGTATAAATAAACATAAAACCTAATAAAATATACTTGAGTTTAAAGAAGCAATGTGTTACCGTTCCAAATAATTAGTGCGTCTTCATCTTCGGGGTCAAGCCACCAGAGAGGCGCGGTGACGGGCCGACCTTCTGCCACTGAAGCCCGCATGGCCTCGTAGATCTGCTCCGCGTACTCTGCGTGCAGATCCGTGTACTTCTTGCATATCGCTATTGTCTGGTAACACAATCTTTGCTGATAACTCATACCGATACATCCTATGCTCCATATGCTCCGAATGCTCCAAACAAGTTGGACAGACAAAGTTACCGACACTGAGGTCCTCAAGCAGATGAAAAGGAATAAGCCCCTACTTGTCAAAACCATCAAACAGAGAAAAGTTGCGTACCTAGGACACGTGCTAAGGCATGAACGTTACCAACTGCTGCAGACTGTTATGATGGGCAAAGTAGCGGGTAAAAGAGGTGTTGGTAGAAGGAAAATATCGTGGCTATATAACATCCGAAAATGGACCGGAATAAAGAAAGTTGAAGATCTGTTCAGGCTAGCCCTGAACAAGGAAGAATTTAGAAGGATGACTGCCGACCTTCAGTAATGGAGAGGCACTTAAAGAAGAAGAAGATACAGCTTATCATCATTGCCTCATAATGGGGGGGGGGAGCATTTGCCATAGTTGCCACGCTTGGCAGGCGAGTTGGCAACCGCAGCTTTTGATTTTGTTGTTGTCATTAGAAAGTAGCTGCTGTCCATCCCCTGGTTTGTTTCCCTTTGTCACTTCTTACGACAACCCACGGGCTGATATTGGGTAGTGGATATTCTTACACCAACACTACACGGTAAATAATGTCATTCAGACCGAATTACAGTCACGGCAGTCAGTTTCGCTGGACACTAGGCATCGGCGCAGGACAGGATTATAGTGCCAGAGTGTATGCGCAAGCACAGGTGCACTCTCTATTCCATCACTCTCATAGTCCGATGGGACGGTAAACCGACACGACCGGAGAGATATCAGGCGCAGGACCAACGGCTTTACTTTACGTGAACACGTCCCAATTTCCTGACTCCGGGTAGCTGCTGAGAGTTTTTTGACGGAAAAACTCTGACTATAAGTAACTTGGCGTTGGTCGCTCTCCGGGATGAACACCTTAGTCGACGGGAGATCTCTTATCTTTCCACGGCCTAAATATTATAGTGTTAGTAAATAATCTTTTTACGTGGCAGAGCCACGCTGCAGTTATATACGGCTACGGCACTAATGGGTCGTCTCGGCCGGGGTGGAGCCATAGGCGTGAAATAGCCGAATGAAGCTGCTGTGTTTGAGGTGAGTGCAGATAACCGGGGACCCCTTTTTACCGAAAACGAGGCATTTCATCTTAAGCCTCAAGGGTGATAACGCGTCTTCATTTTAATTCTTAATCGAGGATAGATGTAAATGTCTATGGGCCACACCATCCACTTACAATCAGGTGGACTGTATGCTCGTTTGTCACCCTTTTTCTATACCAAAACCTCGAGTCTTATCATACGTTATCGCTCGTATAAGTCCCGCGCCAAACGTTTTGTGCCCGGTGATCATTGCTCTTTCACCTTCTTCGTGTGAAGTTGGCTGCAGGAATCGATGCTTTGCACACCATCACGTAATCTGAAGTTCGTTTGTCACTTCGCCTATAAAACTCCGTTGAACTGTTCACACATTCCGTTAAAAAAATCTGGTATACCCAGTACCTACTTCGTGGCCATGGAAGGAAAAGGGGAGATCTCCCGCCGGGCAAGGTGTCCGGGGAGCCGCCATAACTCCTGGTGGTAGTACGGAGCTATTCTATATATACTGTTTTACTTCGGAACTTTGATAGCGCGATTTATTCCATCCATCCATCCAATACTTGATACAGGCATTGGAGTCCCTTTATAGGGACTCTAGTGCTTGTGTTAGGATCAACGGGGTCTACTCGGACTGGTTTGACATCCATAAAGGTGTCAGACAGGGCTGTGTGGCTTCAACTGTTCAACCTATTTATGGACAGTTGTTTGCAAAATTTGAAAGTTGAAGAATGCGGATTAAGAATGGGTGAGAGAACCGTCAAATGCTTTTTGTACGCCGATGATTTTGGTATGATGGTTACATTATGAACTAGGGGTATGAAAGTGAATGCAAGTAAGGCGAAGGTTATGGTTTTTGAAAGAGAAGAAAGTAAAACGATTTGTGAAATAAGAATAGAAGGGGAGTTGATCGAGCAAGTAGATGAGTTTGTATATTTGGGCTGCGTATTTAGCAGGAAGGAGAGATATGATAAGGATATAGAACGACGAGTGATTGCGGGAAATAGAGTAAATGGGGCCCTGCACTCTATTGTGAAGAGTCAAAATGTGTCGAAAAAGGCACGTATGGCAATTCACAATGCTGTGTTGGTCCCTACTTTAACGTATGGTAGTGAAAGTTGGGTGTGGCAGAAGAAGCACGAGAGTAGAATGAACGCAGTAGAAATGCGGTCGTTAAGGACTATGTTAGGGCTGAATCTTAATGACAGGGTAAGAAATTGTGTAATAAGAGAAGAGTGTGGTTTGCAAGATGATGTTGTGACCAGGATTAAGAAAGGAATGCTTCGGTGGTTTGGTCATGTGGAAAGAATGAACGAGGAAAGAGTGACAAAGAAAATTTATGTTGCAGAAGTGAATGGCAGAGTGGGAAAGGGACGTCCTAGGCGAAAATTTATCGACCAAATTGGCGATTTATTGAAAACGGGCCAAATTAGGAGTACCCTTAACCGACGAGCATGTATGCGGAGGTGTATGGATGTGAAGGAGGCGAGAGAGGTGTGTCAGGATCGTGCCAAATGGAAGTCTGTAGTCTCTGCCTACCCCTCTGGGTGACAGGCGTGAGTGTTTATGTATATGTATGTATATGCCATCCAATACAGCCTATAAAAGTCAACTACTAAATATAGGCTTCCCCCATAGATTGACTCATAGGGGGATTTTGCCATAGCTGCTACGCTTGGCAGGTGATTGGCAACCGCAGTCTTTATTACTTTGAGTCGTTATCAGGAAGATGCTGTTGATCACATGTGATGGCATCTTCTTGATTACTGATATTCAATTTCTCTCTGTGACCTCTTACGGTATCCACGGGACGATATAGGATAGTGGAAATTCTTACACCGCCACAACATGGTATAAATATTCAGAACCCATGAATTAACAGGAAGGTTATCCACTGATCTGACTGTCACCATCGACCAAGACATACCAGAAGATACAATACGGTATTTACTTCATTATCAAAGTTCCATGGTACGTAGGAATACTGCATTGCAGGTAGGAAGGTATTCGCTTGCACCCATCGAATGAACAGTTCCTTGGTTGGTATGTCCGCTTGCTCATGGTCCAGGTTGTATCCGTTACCACCAATCATATCGGGCAGGACGAGGGTGTAGCCGTTTAGATTCATCTGAAGGGTCGTTGTGATCAGGGTCGAGAGACCGTTATTTAAGCCCCATATCGAGTCACGGTCTACCATTCGCACAAAGATCGGAAGGTCTTGTGTTCTGAAAAAAAAATTGCTTTATTAAGTCCATTGAGGGATTTGCGGATAATCTTAGGCCGGCCGACAATTTGTAGTTTAAGCTCAACGTGGTAGAGCCACGCTGCAGCTGTATTACATTTGTAGCACGAATGGGTCAACCGGGGAAGAGTCATGCTATCAACAACAGAGTTGCTTCAACAGCAACAGCTTTCACAAAGTACCAGCGTAAAATTATAATAATAATAATAATAAATGATCAAAAGAAAGGTTACCTTGTAAAACTCCCTAATGCCGAGATTAAAATATCACACCTGATATACATGGACGATATAAAGCTTTACGCCAGTTCGTTTGAAGACATGAAAATCTTATTAGATATTACAAGTAAATTCAGTAACGACATAAATATGCAGTTTGGATTAGAAAAATGTAAAATCTTAAATACAAAGAAAGGAAAAATAGAACCAGGAGCCTACACTTTACCAGAAGGAGGCATTATTTCGTCCATGGAGTCAGATAAGGTATAAAAGTACTTAGGATATCAGCAATCCAAGCTGTTAGACCATACTAGCTTAAAAACGCATTATTAACAGAATATAAAAATAGAGTAAGCCGAATCTGTAAAACCCAACTAACATCGAAAAGCCTTATTAAAGCTATTAATACTTACGCGATTCCGATATTAACATATTCATTTGATATTGTTACGAGCTTGAGGTTCGTGACAATAAAAATTACCGATAAAATTACCTAAATTAACACTTTAATTTACTTTACACAAATTAAAACTAAAAACACTAATAATTAAACACACTAATTCACTTAATTCCGCTCCGAAGCTTCGCTTGTGTCGCCGAGTTCAACTCTGCCCCGATCGCATCTTGCAGCGCCTATTTATATAATTAGCAAAGAAGCGTCCCGAACATTCAAGTAAATGCGCGCCAGGCAACGAGTATTCGAGTGTAGATTTTCCAGAAACTTAGTTCTTCGGGTGGCGCTGTCGGTCGAGTGATTTGTGATGTCATTTTCTCAATGCTCCCCTCGCTCTCGTTCCTGACACTAGATGGCGCTAGTGTATCGTCGACTTGAGCGCGTAACACTGCCCCCTCCTAAGACATGCTCCTCCCGAGCATTATCGGCCCCATAATAACGCGCCAAGCGATCCACATGGACGATCTTAGGAGTCCCTCTTGCGCCTTTCTGTAACGGCTCCGCAATGTCAAGAGCTGTTCTATCCCGTGGTGCACCAACATTGTACAATTTCGGTGCTCCTCTACTACGTGTCTGAGGTCCCCGCACGGCCGCACAACTTGTACATGTACAACACCAATCCTCGACATCGTCACGATAATGGACCCAGTAAAACTGTTCTCGGACCTTCAGTAGAGTTCGTTTAACTCCCAGATGGACTCTTGAACGACCATTATGGCACAGCTGTAGAACATTCGGCACTTTAGCTCTAGGGACAACCATTTGTAAACGACAGCTGTCCCTTCGACCATTGTCCCATTTACGGCACAGGACTCCACCCTGAATCAGCAAGCTGTCCCATTGGGCCCAATAGCTTTTCGTGGTTGAACTCATCGCTGAGACGTCGCTCCACTTAGGCTTGGGAGCACTGGCCTTCATCCATTCCAGGATCGGCTTGATGTCCGGATCTTCCTGCTGTGCACATTGAAAGCTGTCCTTCCACTCGTTGCTGAGGTGGTCTGCCCTGAGCATCCTCACGGATACCACTTCCCTACTCTCTTGCCTAGTACAATGTTTGCAATCTTCAGGACAAGGTCTTCGTGATAATGCATCTGCGTTGCCATGAGATTTCCCGCTGCAGTGTCTGATAGTAAAGTCGTATTCCTGCTGCTGCTGGGCGGTGCTGTTAGCCGCACTTCCTTTCTGAGACCGTTCACCTTCCCTTCCTAGGGTGTGCTTAGGGCAGCTGGACCGAAGATGGCCCCCTTTCCCCACAGCCATAGCACCTAGGGCTGTATCTTTTATTGTGGTCGCGAACCGTAACTGCTGTAACCTCCCTAGCGTGAGGTGAACGATGATCCTGTCGCCGCCAAGGCAGTGCCGTTAGCTGTACTACCCTCTCGAGATCGATCAACTCTCCTTTCCACGGTTAGTTTAGGGCAGCTGGATCGAAGATGGCCCTTTTCCCCACAGCCATAGCACCTTGGGCTGTACCCTTTGTTGCGGTCGCGAACTGTAGCTGCTGCAACCTCCCTGACGCGATGGGAACGATGATCCTGCCGCACGGCTTTCACTTCCAGTGCATGGGCCAAGGCGTCCTTAAGCGTCTCGTGGTGCCCGAGCCTCACAGCAGCTCTGACTTCAAGGTCGCGGATGCCGTCGATGAATGTCTGCACCAGGTTACCTTCAATGAGCGCAGGTACAGACCGGTATGCTTTTCGCACCAGCTTCTCCACCTCTAGAGCCCACTGCTGCAGGTTTTCGTTGATGCGCTGCACACGATCTTTAAGCTGCGCACGAAAGACGTGTTCCAGGTGAGCGTCGCCATATCTCGCCTCCAATGCCTCAAGGAGTTGCTCATAAGTCACTTCCTCACCGATAGCTTCCAGAACTGTTAAGGCCTGGTCGCACAGGCCTAGTGTGAGAGCAGTCATGGCCTGACTTTTATTCCAGCCGTTCGCCTTCATAACAGCCTCGAACTGGATTTTGTAGGCTGACCAGGAAGAAGTCCCGTCGAACGGTGGCACTTTGAACCCACGTAGCGAAGGTGTAGTAGCTACTACGGGAGCTGTAGTTCCATCACCCAGTTTGAGTTCGTCCAGTGATTTCTTCATGTCAGACATTACGTTGTCAACCCTATTGTTCACTTGGTCGATACGGGTTTCAGCTTCCGACAGGCGGTTTTCATGTTGAGCAACCTTATCCTTCACCTCCCTTATCTCTTTCCCGAAGGTAGCGTGAATGTCCTTCATGAGGAGCATCTGCTCTTCCTTATCGCGCTTGAGCTGCTCTTCCAACCGACGGGCCTGTTCCTCCTGTCGGCGAGCCTGTTCCTCCTGCTGCTCTTTCAACAGACGGGCCTGTTCCTCTCGTCCGCGCTGCAGCTGCTCCTGTAGCATCGCCATCAGAGCACCTAAGTCAGGTGCTGCAGATGTAGGAGCTACTGACGGGCCTGCAGCCGGCGGCTGACCCTCAGGGCTACTGCGGGCCGGCCGGCGGCTGACCCTCCGCCGTCTGCGGCGTTGCACCACCAAATCTCCTTTGGTCCGTCTCCTGCTGGCGTTGACTTCGGGTACGGACACCCTCCGTTTCCTCCTTAGGTAAAATCGGCATGATTTTATCCCACTTCTGACACCAATTGTTACGAGCTTGAGGTTCGTGACAATAAAAATTGCCGATAAAATTACCTAAATTAACACTTTAATTTACTTTACACAAATTACAACTAAAAACACTAATGATTAAACACACTAATTCACTTAATTCCGCTCCGAAGCTTCGCTTGTGTCGCCGAGTTCAACTCTGCCCCGATCGCATCTTGCAGCGCCTATTTATATAATTAGCAACGAAGCGTCCCGAACATTCAAGTAAATGCGCGCCAGGCAACGAGTATTCGAGTGTAGATTTTCCAGAAACTTAGTTCTTCGGGTGGCGCTGTCGGTCGAGTGATTTGTGATGTCATTTTCTCAATGCTCCCCTCGCTTTCGTTCCTGACACTAGATGGCGCTAGTGTATCGTCGACTTGAGCGCGTAACAATATAATAAAATGGACAAAAACAGACATAGTTAGCCTCGAAATAAAAACACGTACCATATTAACAAAATTTAATCATTTACATCCCAAGTCTGCAGTAGAAAGAATTTCAATAACCAGAAATCGAGGTGGAAGAGGTCTTATAGACATCCAAGCTCTCTGGACTAAGCAGCTCTCAACCCTTAGATCATTCTTTCATAAAAAATGACTACCAGTAATTTACACAATGCTATTGTTAGAATAGATGTGAACCTCACACCACTAAACCTTGCAGAAAAGCCACATATAACAGAAATAAATGATCAGTATGCAGACAGAGAAGACTTGAAATTAATACAATGAAAAAAAAAAGTTTTGCATGTTAGATATCCCTATGACTTAGGTCAAGCAGATGTAGATTCGGAGGCATCGAATAGGTGCTTGTATGTGGTTACTTACTCCCTGAAAACGAAGGCTTCATGATAGCAATACAGGAATCAAGTCATTAATACGAAAAATTATCAAAAATATATAATTAAAGATCCTACAATAGCAGATGATAAATGTCGAAAATGTCATAAACGGCCCGAAACCATTCAGCATATTACAGGAGCTTGCTCAACACTCACGCAGACTGATTACACACACAGACACAACCAGATCGTAAATATAATACAACAAAAATTAGCAATCAAACACAAACTAATCCCAGACACACATACGCCATATTACAAATACACACCAACGGCCGTACTTGAAAATATAAATTTTAAAATGTACTACGACCGTGCTATTCTGACAGACAAAACCATCCATTATAATAAACCTGATATTACGTTCCAAGATAAAATAAATAAAACAGTATATATCATTGATATAGCCGTACCTAATACGCATAATTTAAATTAAAACTATAACCGAAAAAATAAATAAATACACAGAACTGAAAGAAGAAATAACAAAAATGTGGAAGATGAAAAAAGTTTTTATAATACCCATAGTACTTTCTACCACCGGAATAATCCCGAAGCACTTACATCATAGTTTAAAAATGCTAGACATATTATCGAACTCATACATTAATATACAAAAAGCAGCAATTTTAAATACATGTCGCAACGTTCGAAAATTCATGCAGGATGACAGTAATGTAGCTTATCCCCTATTATAATGACGGTTACTTGGTTTCAACCCATAATCGCCATTTATTTACTAGCTCATAGCTGAGAAAAAATAATAAAAATAATAATAATTCTATATAAAAAAGATTCTAACCTGAAGCCAGCCCTCACTTCCACCATGTCCCCGAAGCTAGCGGCCGTGCGCGCGTATTGCTGCACGATATGATGCGGTTGCATGTCTATGTCGCCACTTTGCACTGCAATCTTAACAAAGACGTATGTATTGTATTTTGAATAAAAAGTCTACATAATTCACTGTCCGAAAGACTAAAGGTCAGTGTACTTGGCTACTTCTTGTTTCCCTGGTACTTCTCGCACAGAATGCCAGCGTGATTTAGTAGAATAGGCATTATATCTGAGTCCTCAGAGGTATTAATCGAATCTAAATTTTAATTCTTAATCGAGGATAGATAAAATGTGTATATTGGGCGATATCATCTACTTAAGTATAAATATCAGGCATTCTATCAGCCGTCAGGGGTCATAACGAATCTAAATTTTTATTATTAAACGAGGAAAGATGTCATGGTGTAGGGCGACATCATTCTCTATGTCAGGTTCGCAAAGTTATACAAGTCACGTCTCCCCTGTGAGAAAAGTTGTTTACGGATAAAAATATATAAACCATGTCGAATCGCATTCCACCTGTCACCCCGAGAGAAGAAGGAGAATGTCTCAGGTGCCTGTAATTTCACCGACTATAATTACAATATGATCAATTATAAGGATGAGATGTGTATGTCGTAATACTTTAATCTGCTTTCGTGCCGACAGACATACCAAATTGAGACCTTATATTTGGCCCATGCACCTTACCAGTTTACAAGGATTTCACGCGCCTCCTTTTGCTGGCTTCTGCGTCCCACAAGGGAGGTGCACCCTGCACTTTGAATACCTCTGTTCTTTATAGATCAGATGGGTTGTGTACTCGTTTATCCCGTTATTTCTATTAAAAAAACGACGAGTTGCACTCCGGGAGTGCCGGCAGAAGTGAAAACTTGAATATTAACGTTGTGCATTTTTGATATTTTGGAATGGTTAGGGAATAATTTTGCACGAATTGCTTTAATTATCAGTATTAAAGTACTATCATTTATGTGGTAGAATACAATATTTATTTATTGCGCTATCGTACACAACTAAATGACACAGCAGGCGCAGGCATAGAAAGAGAGGGGGATACTTCCTCTCCTACGCCGCGCCGGCTGTCTCTTTCTCTCCATCCGTCTTACGCATTTTCGATCAGGGTCACGTGTCCTGACGCGAGTTTAACATTTTTTACCCATTACAAAAAAAGTGTACAACGCCGCTAAAGAAGTTTTCACTTCAAAAGCTGGCTATTGGTTGTGGTGTGTAAACAGCGGAGGGTCACGATTTCCAGCTTACCTACGTCAAATACTACTTCTCCGGAAGAAATATCTAACGCATATTCATCTCGCGGGGTGAGCACAGTTTTGCGAAAAGTAAGATGGCGATGACGTGTGTAAGTAAGATTACGGATGCATGTGCGAGTAAGATTGCGATTGCGTGTGCGAGTAGGATTGCTATTGCGTTTGTGAGAACTAATATGGTTTAAAGCTACTGAAGACCGAGTTCATAAGGTAAGTATTGCTTTCTTACTTGTGGCGTGAAGCTACTTTCACCTGCATCGAACTTAACGCTATCGATGTCATAGGTGTCTAGCAGGTTTCTAACGCGGTCGTGCCACCACTTTGCCGCCGCGGGGTTGGTGAAATCCACAAACCCAGGCACGGAGCCGTTGTTGTTCCACCAAGAGGTCGCCGGCTTCCCAGTCTCATCCAGCACCAGGTATCTGTTGATAGGTAAAGTAAGAAGAAAGAAAAAACATATTTATTTATTACTGTAAATTGTAGAACCTCAATATGACAAACAGAAAAAATAACTAAATATGAACAAAATGGATTGCGGCTAGGGTTGCAAGACGTTCTTTAAAGGACGTCCTATATTTTAGGTCCAAAATTGTCCGCTTATTTAATTTTTTTTAAAAGGACAAGGAAATAGCCACGTACACACCTAGCGCACGGCCTCGCGCGGTAGCCTCGGTGTGCGGCTCGCGAGGCAGCCTCAGTAGTTTTGTCCGGAACTCAGAGGCATGTCTCGCAAGGTAGGCTGAGCCATAATAAGTCCCCGAGCATCCGAAATGGACAGTTGTGTAATTGAAGCTGCAGCTACCTTCTTAGTTGCTTATTATTTAAAAACACGAAAACAGTGACGTTTTAAGAAAAGACCTAGACGCTTCCGGATTAGAAAAATTTGGAAATAAATTACTTAAAGATTTACCATACGATCAGATTGTACATTCATTGAATTAAACAAATCGACTCGCCCTGATTGCTCATGATATTATATTATTAAAGTGACTTTTCAGTAAAACTAAAACAAACACTATCGCATCGCCTCGCGAGCCAAAACACCACCGTATACACCAAACGAACAGCAATCAGTGAGGCACCTTTGAGCGCGTCTAGTTTACCGACAAATTATGGCTCGCGGTCGAGCGGCGCTCGGCTGAGACAACGACGCCCGAGGTAGTCCGAGGCACGTCCACATCAGCCGAGGCATCACGCTCGCGAGGCTGCCGCGCAAACTCGTGCGCTAGGTGTGTACGCGGGTATTATCTAGCTTGTTGAGTTCAAAAATTTAAAAATCACTTTGAGGCGACGCGCGATGTTAGCCAAAATTTTTTCAACTCCTCCGGCACCATATGGGGTAGTGGATATTCTTACACATTATTACACGGTAAACGGCTCCGTGGCGCAGTGGTTTAGCAATGAGTGGCTGCACTGAGTGCCGCGGGTTCGAATCCAGCACGGAACAAGTATTTGTATGGCCTACAAATGATTGTTCCGGATCTGGATGTTCGTCCTTGTATAATTTATGTTTGTAAACTGCTTTCACGATACAGGAGGAATCCTAGTGTGGGGTAACGTTTAAAAAAAATATTTACCTCAATAAAAAGGATAACAAATGGTGAAATTATCATTTGGCCTTCGCACCCAGTTATAATTCTTATAAGGATAACATAGAAATGCTTGCGTTTTGAGGCCAAGTCGCAAAGAGCTTGTTAAGAACTTGTTAAGAGAACCTGATCGGCAATCATCACTACCTGTAGACGTCTGCAAAAATGTTTCAAACAGTAGCAACATCGATACAAGTTTTGGTTTGTTACTCTTGATCATGTCTTGACAAAACCGCAGCAGACAGCTGTGGTTTTTTTGATCAATGAAAATTATCGCAGAACACTAATTCAGGTATAAACTACATTTCATGATATGCATAGTTTGGTTTGCTGTTCGATATAAGGTATACGATACAACACACAGCATCCGTGTGAAGGGGCAGTCACTAGTTAATAATTTAAATAATATAATCTATGTCATCATATGTCATCTAAAGTATGCCATGTTATCATCACCGTTACAGCTTAAGCAAAGTCTAATGCACATCATAGGAAGATCAATGCCTCATAGAATACCTCATAGGGGGGATATATGCCATAGGTACCACGTTTGGCAGACGAGTTGGCAACCACAGTTTTTAATTTTTTAGTTGTTATTAGGGAGAAGCTGCTGTCCCATCTCCTGGCTCTTTCCCTCTGTTTCCTCTTACGACACCCACGGCACGTTATGGGGTATTGGATATCCTTAGACCGCCCCTATACGGTAACGTCATCATTGATCGGCATCAATCCATTTCAATACATACCCGTTGTTCAAAGCCTCTGTATACAACGGCTCGCAGTTATTATTGATGAACGGGTGCACCCAGATGGTCACGCGGAAGCCCATGGCCTTAACTACCTGGATTAGACTTGTGAAGTTTGGGAACTTCTTCTCGTCCACTTCGAGTGTACCATAGCAAGTCTCCCACAGATCGTCGATTTCGAGCTGAGAATCGCTGAAACCAAACTCTCGAATCTGCTGAGCGAACTCCAAAACTTTTTCACGGTCAACATCTCGAGAGTACTGCGCCCAGGTAGACCAGATCGGATGTTGCACCATCCTGTAATCTGGCACTCCAGACGGCTTACCAAGATAGTTGGCTACAGCGTGCTTGTGTGCTTCTTTCACGTTGGGCAAAAGCCATAGGTCGTAGGACAGCTCCGTGTGGTTTCTCTTAGCGGAGTATGGGTCGGAAATTTGCGCGCCGAAACATATGTGATTGGGTGAGATGTTATTATAGTCGACGAAGAGCGGGACTTGAGGATGCACGTAGATGTACTCCCCCTTAGAGTTGAGCCAGTATCTCTCGACTATGGCCCCGTTGTCAGACTCTTTCGAGTAGTATGGTGAGTACACTTGCTTTGCTTTCTCAATCGGGTACACTTGTTCTACTTGCATAGGTCCACCGTACCAATGATTCGTACCTGGAAGATAGATAGGTTAAAGTTCATGACGGATAGTTGGTAGAATCAGCCCACCGTTGAATACAGGCCTTCTCCCATATATTGCTTCATACTGGGTAGATATTTGTCATAGTTGTTGGCTTGGCAAGCGGGTTTTTTTCGGTTTATCGGTTTCGGCGGGCTACCGCAGTTTTTTTATATGATCTGTTATCAGGAAGATGCTGCTGCCCATCTTCTGTTAAATATACCTCTGTCGCCTATTATGACATCCACGGAATGATGTGAGGTAGTAGGTTCTTTTACGTAAATAGACGTAAATACAAACCGTAATACATAAACCGTAAATACACGGCACGTAATTATAGGTTGTAGTACATAGTAGAGGTTACAAAGCTTAATATAATTTGGGGCCAATTTTTCAATCCTCAAATAATATTTATAAATAGGATAAAATACAACATAAACAAATTAAACACTACAGTTGTTTGACTCAAATAGTTAAATTGTCTCGCCTTTTATATTCAGTCAGGTTATCTCTTATTCAATGCATAATGACGATTGATTGAAATTATATCGAAATTAGTATAATTATAAAACTGAGTGCCAAACCATAAAATGCAAATGCGTTGTCACCCCTGAGAACTACGATGGAGTGCCTCGATCCCAGTAAAAAGGGTCTCCGGTTCTCTACACTCATCATTCGAAACACAGCAGTGTTAAGCTACTATTTCACGCTGGTATTCTGTGAGAGAGGGTGGTCCTGCATCGCACGTGCCGACCCATACGTGCTACAACTATAATATAGCTGTAGCATGGCTCTACCACGTAAATATAATTTGCTACATCGTTCGTCATGCGTACAGCAAGAGTGTGGAATAAGTTTTCAGCATCTGTCTTTCCATCCGATTACAAGCATTGGTGTCTTCAACGCAAGAGTGAATAGGCTTTTGTTAAGTCATTGTGCTTCAACATCATAGGGTACATCACCACTTACCGTCAGGTGGAATTGAAGTTAAGTACTGGCTTAGAATAATAAAAAAGATTAATCTTAGTTGTCAGCGTAACCTGCTTAATTACGTTGTAAGAAAAATGTTTTTGAAATAACGCAACTACTGTTATTTACTTATTGCCCGACTGCTCCAGAAGTGTCTATTTCTTTGGCACGCTTTGTAGCCCAAAGGTCTTGATGAATTTCAACATATGGGCTGTCGTTAGATTCATCTTACAGATTTTTTTCTTTCAGTAAACTTTTTAAGACAATCGGGGTTTCTAATTACTGTTTTAACTATTATTTTTTATTTTATAGGATAAGGTGATAAACGAGCATACAGTCCACCTGATGGTAAGTGGTTGCGCGGCCCATAGACATCTACATCCATCCTCGATTACGAATCAAAATGCAGATGCGTTGTCACCCGTAAGGACTAAGATGGAGTGCTTTGTTTCCAGTAAAAGTGTCTCCAGTTTTCTACACCCACTACACGAAACACAGCAGCATTAAGCTATAATTTTACGCTGGTATTCTGTGAGAACGTGGTCCTTCCCCGGTCGAGCCAACCCATTCGTGCTACAACTATACTTCTAATATAACTGCAGCATGGCTCTACCACGTGAGATTAAGTTTGTTCTTTTATTTTTAAGGTTAAGTATTAAGGTTGTTCTTTTATTTTTAAAAACTTTTATCCTATGAATTTGACAGGTTAGGTATATCCTTATTATAAATAACGTAATAATATGAATTAAAATCACTAGAAATTATTATTACCGAAATCAAAACAGTCTTCGAGTCGCATAGGAGTAAGAGAATTCCACTTGATCTTAATGCCTCTCGCATCAGAAGCTTCGTCGTAGAGTGTGTTGATTGTGAGGTTTACTTCTCCAATGTAGATCTCCATACCACCTTCTACATTCACTGCAGTGTACGTGGAAACCAGCGTTCGCCCGATATGACCGTATACTATACGTTCATCGTCTACAGAATTAAAAAAAAACATTAATACTAACAAATCGTTAATACCGTTATATTAGTTATAGTAATATCGTTATATTAGTAATAGAATTTAAAGTTAAAAGTTTTGGGTGGAATATGTTTTAATAACTTTAGACAAAGGTTACAAATGCTAATAATGAAAATTTAATTTATGAAATTGTATACATTAACTGTATAATTTATCTTTGGAAACAAACATTTTAAAGAGACTGTACGTTCATCGTCGACAGAAGATTATTTAAAAAAAATTAATACTAACCAATTGATAATTATATTAGTAATGGAGGTTAAAGGAAAAAAAAGTTTGGGTAAAATGCATTATAAACTTAGACAAAAGTATATAATAAATTTTTTTTTTGTTGATAAGGCGGTGCGAATCCGCCATTATCTTGGACCGCTCTTATATACAAGCATTTTGGCTTAGCAAGCACTGCGATTAAACGCGAGTGGTTTAGGAATAGCTGAAAACTTAAAATCGCACATAATCACGCACTGCAGCTGGCGTTTTGGGTAATTTTATTTGGCTTTGGTTTTTAAATTAGGAAATCTTTAAATTATATCGACTAATTATATTATTTTGTTATTGTCATATATTTAATTTTATCAATGTAGAATCTTAATTGGTGTTACAATTTCATTGATTTTTATTATATTTTATTTTTATTGCATGATTCTCATACGAACACACACTTATATTTGTATGTCTTTAAGACAAAACATAGCGTACTACTAATTGTAACCCTCGCAAGACCTTCAAACCTACCTATGTTTGACAAATAAACTATTCTGATTCTGATTCTGAAATAGAAAACGTAAACCGCAGCCATAAGTACTGGGTACATCCACTAACAGATCAAAGATATCTGAAAGGATTCTTCTGCAAAATGTACAACGACGTGCGACGACATCTCGATAAGTTTTTTAATTACCACAGAATGTCAATTGGTACTTTCGATAAATTATTACAAGCTGTGGGCCAGTATTTAGAACATGTAGACACTGGATTTCGTATGACGATATCACGTGAAGAGCTGAATCGAAACAGAATGCGGTTAACCGATGTGCGTGCGCCGCCATACTATTACTATGGGACACAAAAATCGCGCGCTTACAAGCCGTGATCCAAATGTAGCAAGTTACATTTTTATTATAAAATCAGTCACCGAGAAAAGTCGCTAATGCGTGCGCTTGTATAGAAAGCTATATGTTACATTTTATTTGCGGTTTCAGATGTGCGGTTTGGTTAGAAGTATTGTGGAATATTCCACAATACTTCTCACCAAACCGCAAGCCGCTAGCCCAGTCACAAATATGGGGTACAAGTGTCACTCAAACCGACTGAAAAAGATTCAGAAAAGGTTTATGCACCAGTTATCGTATGAAATAATCAATGCAGGACACTCATTACATATGAGAGTAGATTGGCACACTACAAATTAAAATCGCTATCCAAGCGGCGGGAATCATCTGATGTCATGTTTGTCTATTAAATTATCCATGGTCTCACCAAGTGTCCGGACATTTTAAACCGGTGGAGGTGCTCGGCAAAAAGACTTTTGTCACGCCACTCACGGTCATCACTCGCCATTGTATAAGGCCTCAACAAGGGCTAACATTAGATTAGCCATTAATTAATTAATATTTATTACTTAAGAGTTTTTTCATTACTTAATTTGCATTTGTTATCATGTCCACTTGTTGCATGCTGTGTTACACTATGCTGTAAAACATAAGCTGTGTTTTCTATAAATTATTTGGTTTAGTATGATGAACTAAATCAAATAATTTATAGAAAATTTTTACTTGATATAAGTAATTTTTGAGAATATTGTTCTTTGCAAGAATGGTAGAATATTAAAGTTGTTATTAGAGTTGTCTTGTAAAAACGAAACCAGTGAGGTTACCTTTGACGAGACTGAGCTGGAAGCCTCCGGTTATCTGCGGCTCGAGGTCCAGCGCCACATCTTCGGCTTTGAGAGGAGCGATGTTCGCGGAGAAGGCACGCGCGCCCAGTGTCAACACTCCTGTTTCAATGTATTTAATATTCTTAATATAAAAATCACGAAGGAATTTACGCAATCAGTTTTATATTATCCTGTTAAAATATGTAGAAGTGGCGCAAATGTATCAATTTGGTTTTATTTTCTACAAAACTCTTTAGTTGTTTGCCAAATCGCACGTAAGTCGAAGCCATATAAATCTATTTTTACCCAACTTTGACAGCGCTAAAAGAAGGGCGATTTTGGCAGACTATGTATGTATGTACGAGTATGTATGCTTGTTCCTCTGTTCCTTCAGATCTTCAAAGCTACTCGACGTATTTTGACAAGTGCGATATTATTCAAAGCGTCGTTCTCTTTCGCGGGATCTGAGCCATAAGAAGTATGAGTATATTCGTGTAACGTCATATAAAAAAATGATTCAAGAAAAATTTTGAAGTTATTTGCAAGAATACTTTTCTCGAAAATTTTCGTTAACGATTTCTTTTCAACGCATCAACCGATTTTGGTGCGGTTTGCAGCGATCCTGTTTTGATGCGATTTGTAGCAATCGACGACGTTTTTCGAGTTTAAGAACTTTGGTAGGAATTGATCGTTACATCTGTTTAAAAGTTATTTAAAAAACAATTAAAAATATTTTTGAGATTTCTCAAAATCTACTGTTCCGAATCGGTTCAAATAGTATATAAAATCTGTTTGGTGAAACTCTTTCGAGCGCCTCCAAGTTCGTTCAAATCGGTCAAGCCATTCAGTGGTTATAAGAGGGTTACATACATCCATTCATATGCACACACACACATACATACATACAGACATAGTGATATGCTCGTAGAAATAGTCGGAACGGATTCCCAGGATCTCAAAACGTAGAGATCTGATGAGAATTCGATTTTCGAAAACCAATAATTTCCGGATTTTTGAAGGTCATTGATTTTTACAGCGGGAAGCGGTTTTTATTAGGGAGACGCTCCTGTCCATCTGTTTTATTTCCCTCTGTCGCCCTTCCCGACATCCATGGGACGATATGGGTTACTGGACATTCTTATACCGCCATATTTTCAAGTTTATTAAGTGTAAACTTACCAAATAAAATCCTCAGCGCCGCCATCGTTGCACGACGGATCCCAGTGTCTGTAAGATATTGTCATGTTATATCAAATATCGTAGATAAATCTTATCGATCTTCAAATAATCTCCGCCACTTGTTTCAGATAAAAGATCTCTTACCTTTAAAATGTGGTTCAATTGGCCTTCTAAATCTTGAGTTTTACATAGAGAGATATGGTTTTAATATATGTAGCAGTTCTTGAAATTTCTTGTATGTTAAATGCAAATATCTGAAAATTCATTCAACATCATTTCTAATAAATAAATCTATACTTATAGAAAAACGTCCTGCTGACTGACTGATCTATCAACACACAGCATAAACCACTGAAGTTGGAAACTTGAAATATTGTCAGTAGGTTTATTTTATGACGTTGGCGAGCACTAAGAAAGGATTTTTCGTTGCGATAAAGCATGGGTTCATGTATTTCACAGTTTTTGAAAATTCTACCCCCAAAGGGGTTAAAGAGAGGTTGAATGTTTATATTGTAGTCCTTCATTTTTCAAGTTGTTTTTCAAGTTATGTTTATGAAACTCTTGGCTTTTGATTAAAAATGAAGACGTACTTATTAAACATTTTTGAAAATTCTACAAATTTTATTTGTAAAATTTTATTTTAGTCGTAATATTATTTTTAATTTAAATGAGGGTAGAATATTTGTAGGAAATTCCAAATTATATTCACGAAATACATTATTTTAGCTATTGTTTTAAAATAAAGAAGTATTTGACGACTCCGTGGCGCAGTGGCTTAGCAATGAGTGGCTTCGCTGGGGGTCGCGGGTTCGAATCCCGCACGGAACAAGTATTTGTATGGCCTACAAATAATTGTTCCGGGTCTGGATGTTTGTCCTTGTGCAATTTATGTTTGTAAACTGCCCCCAGGATACAGGAGAAAATCCTAGTGTAGGGGTAACGTTTTTAAAAAAAGCAAAACAAAGCAAAGTAAAGTATGTGTTTCACTATGTATGAATTCAGTCATTTTTCAACTTATATACACGATACTTGGTATAGTGGCTTTAGATTTAAAAAGTCAAGTACTATTTTGTGGGCAAGTGCGAATCAAATAAGCATACACAGGGTTCCGTATCAACATACAAGACAGGTCTTTTATAAGTATAGATCTGGATGTTTAACAGTAACTCGAGCGAAAACAAAAGTTAATTATATGGGTCTCCATATCGCTTTATATTTTTTACTTTTTTACTATTTGTTGTTATTACGGCAATAGAAATATACATTCTGCAAAAATTTCAAGTATCTACCTATTAGGCCTCTGCCTCGAATCTTGCGGGCAGCGGAGCGACGGCGACGGCGGCGCGGGAGCGGGGCGGGCAACGCAGACCCGTTCACGAAACTAGCGGGCAGATCGCGCGACACTATAGCGGCGTAGTGATGTGTTCATGGTTGTGTTGTCGAGATGTTTGTTTTTATTTGCGAACGAAATGTCTGAACAACGGCGACAACATCTTTTTGATTCAAATTTATTTCTAACGCTCGATTTACAGTGGGCAAAAGAAGAAGTGAATCCCTACTACTTATAGGGCAAGGAAAAGAAAAGACGAGTTTTATCGAAATTACGAAGAACAGAGACAATGTCCCGACAAATTCTACGACTACACCAGAATGAACGTAGAAACTTTTGACTATATTCTTGAAGCTATCAAGGGCGATTTAGAGTCTGTATTCAGTTCGTTTTTAATTTCTTCCCATAACTGGTTAACTACTTTTCTATTTTTATGGTTCACATCTTTGCTGTTCCATATCGGTGTTCTCTCAAAAATTGCTGAAATAATTTGCTCCAGCACGTCCGACGACATTTCGAAACGTCACAAAAATTAATTGCACAGCACTGCAATGCAGACGTGCGGGCGGTCACCGCTTGACTGGAGTAAACCGCTCGTTGCCCGCCCCCGCGCCGCTGCCAAGCCGCTGTTTTCGAGAGTCGGTCCATTTGATTTTACGCATAAGATCCTGCCGTACCCGCGCCGCCGCCGCTGCCGTACCGCTGCCCGCAAGATTCGAGGCAGAGGCCTTACGGTTCATGAGATACAACCCGCGGATAGACGGACAGAGGAGGCTTAGTAAAAACGTAGGTGTGGGTTTCACAGGTTTCCAAATTGCGACACTTTTTAATTATATATCCATGAAAATTGGTAAGTAATTTATTTTAGGGTTAGGGAACAAGGCGACTAAAATTAGTTTCGCATACAAATACACCTACCTACATATTACTACTACAACATCTTCATCATCACCATCAAAATCATCATTATCAAAAACAGCAAATACCTATCATCGGCTCAATACTGAGTGCAGGTCTCCTCTCTGATAAAGGTTATAGACATAGTCCACCATACTGGCCCAGTGCAAATTGGGAGACTGAGAGATGTTTTTCTTCAGTTATATTAACATATCACATGTTTCAACATTTATCTGATTTTAGCTCCGAAAAATCAGATAAATGTGCACATTTCTCTCTTGCAATCAGGTAAAAACAGTTCACATAATATTATTTAAATTGATAACATTTTTTATGCACACGATTCTGTTTGTTTTACTTGATTCATGGTTTAGTTCAAGTCCTGAAAGATCGTTAAAATATTATAATAACATATTATTAAATTGTAATTTTATATTTTAGTAGTATATTATGGGCATTACCGCTGTGACGTTAACGTAAAACGGTAATATTAATAAATTTTGTAATGTTTACAAAGTTGTAACTAGATGGCGCTAATGTCGTTTTAATCGGGCTATGCTTCCGTTCACAGAATATGATGTTAAGGCTATTGATGTCACGTTTTTATTTCTAAGAAACTGGGGCTACCTTTATTCTCTTTGCAATTGATGCGTCATTGATTTTATCATAATACATTTAAATTAGATTCTACCCGAAATAGATCGATTTTTAAATCGATTCAAATTGAGATTTGTTGAATTGATTCACAAAAAAAAATCGAAGTCTAAAAGATCGATATCAAAGAACGCAAGAAAATACAGATTACAAACTTATTTTCTTATTTCTTAAATCCTTTAAGAAGAGACGAAATAAACTGAGCATACAGCAGTTTTGCGAGTTTTTGAATAGAAAAACTGTCATTCTTTAAGAGTGTGGTACATACAACTAACTGTAAATCATTTTACAGTTCTTATAAAAACGGAAAAAGATTCGATTTTCTAGGATGAAATATTGATTCACTGTCAGTATTAGGTATCGACGCTCGACTGGGTGGCGTAAATTCTGTGGCAACATAGAAACCTGCAAACAAGCAAATAGGATAAGGAATATTCTAGCTAAACAGAACACGTCGGGATCCATGTCTCTAAAGAAACCCGACGGTAGCTACTCAAAATCGCCGGATGAAGCCCAACGCATCCTAATTAAAACGCACTTCCCAGGTTGCTGCTTAACCCAGGAGGCAAACCGGCATGACGACATACTGACACCAACAGTAGAAGACTGGAATTTAGCACAGAGAGTGGTAACGATGGACAAAATCCATTGGGCCATTCACAGTTTCCTCCCCTATAAGGCGGCAGCACCTGACGGCATATTCCCGGCACTCCTACAGTGGGGGGGGGGGGTAAAGCCCTAATAGTCAGACTTGTTGCCATAATGAGAGCCTGTCTGGCTCTAAAATATGTTTCTAGGGGATGGAGGGAAGTGAAAATCACATTTATACCCAAACCAGGTAAGAGCGATTACACTGACCCTAAATCCTACAGGCCTAACATCCTTTAGCCTCACATCCTTTCTCCTAAAGACGATGGAGAGGATGTGTGAAAGGGAATTAAGGGGGTCGGCGCTAATGAACTTACCACTACACGACAAGCAACACGCCTACAGTCTAGGCAAATCAACAGAATCGGCACTTCATCAGGTAATTACAAAGATTGAAGAGGCCATCCAAAACAAAGAAATATGTCTAGGTTCCTTCATAGATATAGAAGGTGCTTTTGACAGAACAAACTTCTCCAGCATAAAAGGTGCACTCAGTAGACATAAAGTTGAACTGGCACTGATCGACTGGATAGTTTGCATGCTCAGTACACGAATAATAAAGATTGCTGGTGAATCTCAACCAATCCTAATTAAGAAAGGTTGCCCGCAGGGTGGAGTCCTCTCACCTCTCCTGTGGAATATGGTCATTAATGAACTCATCAGCAAATTAAATACTAATCACTTCTATACAGTAGGTTATGCTGATGACCTGACTATACTGGTCTCGGGAAAGACAGCTAGCATAGTGTGCGACCTGACCCAAGCGGCTCTCCGTATAGTGGAGAGATGGTGCAGGGAATACGACTTAACCGTCAACCCAAATAAAACGGTTTTAGTAATGTTCACACAAAAACGAATGCTGAGTAATTATCATCTTCCAAGTCTTTTCAGCACAAAACTCCAGCTATCCTCTGAGGTAAAATATTTAGGTCTTACCTTGGACAGCAAACTTAACTGGAATAAACGCATAGAAAACAAAATCAACAAAGCTAGTATAACTTTCTGGCAATGCAGAAACATGATTGGCAAAAGATGGGGACTAACGCCAAAAATCATACTGTGGCTTTACAAAACTGTAATTCGGCCCATGATCACATACGGCGTTCTGGTATGGTGGACCAAGACCAATGAAGCCACCACAATTAAGAAGCTTCAGCGCTACCAGAGACTGGCATGTATGGCTGCCACAGGCTGCATAAGAACTACGCCAACAGCAGCCTTGGAAGCGATGTTGGAGCTAACTCCGCTTCATCTACATATACAACAAGAAGCGACTTTAGCTGCCATCAGACTCAAGACCCTAAATCTTTGGAGTAAGAATAGTGTCCCTCATACAGGCATAATTGATAGAATTCACTCAGAAATTCCTATCCTACAAGCCAAATACGATAGGATTCCTAAACAATTTGTTTTCGATAAGAAATACAAGATACAATTAAATGAAAACAGCCAGCCGGAAGGATTAAGCCCAAAAGAGCTTAGAATTTTCACCGATG